GTTGAGAGGTTCAAGAGATAAATCCAGTTCTCTTCGTTTCTATCTACATCGTACATATCTTTGAGTTTTGGTACATATCTCTGCAGAATATTTTAGTGTCTAAGATATGTTCACAGGATCACATTAGCTATGAATCTACTATTGTATAAAACCAAAAGAAGCGATAACTTCAAGCCATAAGAGAACTATAAATATACTAAACAGAAGAAAAGATCAAAGACATACTTGGGAGAATGATCGAAGTTATGAAATTAGAAGATACCTCTCTAGGTCGAAATCAAGGACCCTGTATTTTATTTTGAATTACCTTTTGCACAGATGGCTCCCTCAGGCTTTAGGCTTTCTCAGTCACTTCATATTTTTGTTTTCAGGACATACAAGTGAGGGAGGGGGGATTCATTAATGTAAATGAGGATATAAAATCGTTTAACTAGGGGACACATTAAAACCATAATACCAACATTACGAAAATTGGATAAATGTATACTTTTATGTATTATAGATTCCTTGAGATGACAACTTACAGTTGGTATGCATTCTGCAAGCATCGTTCATGCCCACCTTTGCAATTTCTTTAAACAATTCTTGCTCTGACATTGTTTAATATTAAAAAGGCATGTACAAATTCATAAATTTTTGTCTCGATTGGGATTGAACTGTATATTAAATTAACACAAGTTTAAACAATGATACCTTACTTGATTTGGAATGGTAACTTCGACTGTAAGCATGTCTGAAGTCTGAAGACTAAACGGTTCTTAAAATACTAAATGAGAAAATGGTTTTTTTCATCAATACTAAACGGTTCAAACAAAAACTTAAGTTTTTTTTTTGGTGTGAACAAAAACTTAAGTTTAAGAAATAACTAAATACCAAAAAAGAAACCAACATCTATAAAAACATGGAGGAAACAAAAAGAAAATGAAATAATAACAATAATCAAAACAAACAAAAAAAGGAAGACATAAAAATTCATTATCAAATCATGTCGAAACCAGAAAATTCCATTCAACATATATATCCAAATATAAATTATTGAATTACGTACCATTAAAAAAAAAAATACATTACCAGTTCTAGAAGAAACCAACTAAAAAAAATAAACGGATTACAAATAAAAATTTAAACGTTCACCGTATATATAAAGGAAATTTGGTTTAGTAATCATACAAAAATTATAAATGAAATAAAACAACCAAAAATGCCAAAAAAAATTAGAGGAAATTTGGAAAGTACCCTACATTATTGTCAATTTTTGAAAAATACATTTTTATTTTATTTTTTTTGAAAACTACTCTTTCTTAAATACTAATTTACTAATATATCCTCAATAAAACTAACAAACAATTTTAGACAAAAGATATACTCGTGATCAAACTAAACCTTTTATTTTATACAATTACTGTAACAATTCCAAAGATCTTATTATATAAAGGAGAATGCGCACAATAAGAACGCGACACGTAAGCAAAATTGTAACTCACCAGATTGTGACATGTGTCTACTTTAATCAGATTATGACATGTGTTAACATTTAAAATTAATTCAAGATATATAAAAATAAAAACGAAAACGGATAAAATAATTGTAAAGTAACTAACCAAATAGTAAAGAAAAAATTTTCTTATTGCTCAAACTAATTATGATTAAAGAAAATTTCTAATAGTCCACACTAGCTAGATTAAAAAAAAGAAAATCTAATAATTTAAACTAATTATCAAATTAAATTAAGAAAAATATATTATCGACGAGAGTTTGACACCTAAACAAAAAAATTAACCAAATAGTAAAAAAAAATCTAATACCCAATTGTAGGAAAAATTAATTTATATATTTTAAATAAACTATAAAAATAAATTAGGAAAGAAAATAGAGAGACTATAACAAGTAAAAATAAAAATAAAAAAAGTAGAGAGAAAATAGAAATTAAAATTAAGGAAAAGAAAATTTCTAATAGTCCACACTAGCTAAATTAAAAAAAAAAAATAGTTAGAACATTTGTAAAAATATCATTTTTGATATGTATATTTGCAAGAATAAGTAGCCATTTGAAAAATGTCACTAACGTACTTTTTAAAGTTTGGACACGTATCCCTCTTGCACAGTGCTTACGGCCCAATGTAGTGGAAAAAGCCCACGTTACGGCCCAATATAAAAGGGGACGATAGGAACAAATAAAAAAGATATCGTTATTCCCGCCGGCAAATCTGTTCGCCACTGTGATCGGAAGCATCGCCGTATCCAGAATTTGTGAGCTCTGCTCGCTATTTACAGCTCTAATCCCACTATTCTTTTTGTTCGATTTTTCCATGATCGTTTTCTTAGGGTTCTGCTGTATCCGCGATTTGACTGTTTTTTGGTTGGGGTAATTTCGCGGCGAGGTTTTGAACGACCCGGTTGTGATCAGCGGCGAGTCTGTGTCAAATTTTATCTAGGGTTTAAGTATTGCTGCTGAAGAGAGAAAGTTGTATGATATAGTCTCCTTGGCTTAACATTGTGATTCAGTGTAAAGTCAGAAGCTAATCAGAATCACGACTTTGGATATGGAGTCAGAAACAAAGACACTCGCTAGTAATGTGGCTCGAGAGATTTTAGTCATCTCTAATTCTGACTCCACTGTTGATGATTGCAAAGCAGCAGTCACATATCTCGAATCGGTAATCTTTTACTTTTCCTTGCTATCCTTAACGATTTGAGTTACGGTTTTGGATTTTGTGCTTGCTATTGCTGGTTTGCTCAAGTGTGAATTCTATCCCAAGAAGAGCAACTTTGCATTAGTTTTGATTAAGATGTATGTATTATATATTTTGTCTGATATATGCAGGTTAAGGCAGGTAATGTTGGGGCTTTGTCACAAGTTTCGTTTCTTCTTGTGGAAAACGACTGGCCTCTACAAGTTCGTACGTATGCCTCTAAAATGCTGCAGGTTCTTGCTAAGACGATTTACTTTCAAATATTATTAGCTTGCTGTTGTTAATGAACAAAAACTGAGTAGAATGCTACCATTCCTTGGCCTTTTGGTAATGAGATTAAACTACAACATTAGTTTTGATGGCAAGATTTTGAATCAACACCTAAATTAAGACACTGTTTTATCTTCCCTGCAGTATTTGGTTAGACTGCGGTGGGATGAATTGAGCCCCTCTGAGCACATGGATATTAAGGGCGCCTCCTTTGAACTGATGTCTGAGGTAGCTAATCCTTGCGAAGAATGCCCAATGAAAAGTGAAACAGTCGCTCTTGTAGCTGAGGTTAGAGCTGGATTTTTTTATTTAACTTGCAATCTCTATGTATGGTTGGTTGATTTCATCTTATACAGAATTTCCTTGCAGATATTTGAAAGGGCAGATCCGGAGATGTGGCAGGAAATGTTTCTCTCACTAGTTTCCCTGTCCTCTCGAGGCCCTTTACAGGTAGGATGCTTCATCCTTTCTTTGTGTAATTGGTTAATTCTATCATGGCATGCTTCAATTTTTTTGTTTTTTTGAAATTTCTCTAAAAAATTAGGCAGAATTGACTTTGATGGTGGTGAAACGGCTTTCTGAATATCATATAGATCATATTAAGGAGTTGGAAGGTAATTAAGAGTAACCTACTTCTCTCTCATTCTCATTCGCTGGATTGCTTTCGTCATTTCTAACACGTTTTCCTTTCTCAATCAGACAAGAAGCATAGGTATCTGACGCAGGGGCTTCCTGATATTTTGGTTTGGTTGCATGATGTATGCTACCTTTTGCTCTTATCAATCAGTTTGTTTATTCTACAGTAGTTTAATGCCGAGATCTTAATGCAGCTTCTTGAAAAACACTTTGAGGCTGCAAGGAATGCAGAAGGGCGGCAGAAGGTTGAGTTGGTAAAGCAGCATTCAGATGCAGTTGTTGCTTGTTTGAATGCCATCAACTTATTCGCAGAATGGGCTCCAGTTTTATATCTTTCTGAATACAGAATTGTTGACCAGTTAATAATTCTTGGCTTATACTCAGATTTTTCTTTATACAAGCTATAACTTTGTATATGTTTCTTACTTTCACGTGTCCTTGAGTCTTACAACAGGTGTGCATCCCTACTTTCTTCTAGCGAGTTCTGCCATCTTGCTTGTATGTTCTTCAAACTTATCTGTTCAAGGTATGCAACTCGGCTGCTCATCGAACGCTCTATACATTGAGTAGAATTATTATCAATCGAAAGTTGCCTTGCTTTTTCCTTACCATTTTATTATCTGCCGTTCTTGCAGAAAAAGACCCACTGATGCTTCTAGTGAATTTGATTTGCAATCAGCCATGTGTTTCAGTTTTTGACAAGCTTCTCCAGAGAACTCTTATGCAGACTGATGACTAGTTCTGGTGTTATAAATGGAAGTGAATACGACTTTGCTGAACGTATCTGTAAAATTATGGTTTCTCTAGGCTCCACAAATTTACAGTGCATCTTCGCAGATAGCGGTGCCCTGGCTCTTTATCTGAAACAGGTACTGATCTCAATACCAGTCGTATTAAATTTATAAATAGGTCAACATGTTTTACTTGACTTTCTATTTATACCTATCAGCATGTTTACTGAAGGCTTTCCTTTATTTCTTATTTTTAGTTCCACTATGCTTTGCTTATTCAAGAAACTTTCTTTCTAGATGCTCGAGTATCAACACTTTAAGTTCGGTCTCCACTTTGGGTCACTGTTCTTCTGGCTGGTAAGTGCCTGCTTTACCAGCAAATCCCATCCATCATCATGATTTTTCTCAAATACAGAGAACGAAAACTTTATGGAATTCTCTCTTCTTACTCACAGGCGTTGATGGAGAATTTAATCCCAGACCCCAAAGCTCCTAACCCAGGTGGAAAGGGATCAGCAAGTGAGATTGTCAATAGTTCTGGGCACCTAGATGGGGGAAAAAGGGAGCTTTTACGCCGTATCGATGATGATACCGCTAGCACAATTTTGGATGTTTCTTTCCAACGGTCCAATAAGAAGGACGAAGTCCCTCCTGGAACAAACCTTTCCCTTGAACTATCAGACTGTAAAGATAAAGAAGAGTTTTGCAAGTACCAGCGGAGGCTTGTATGTTTCTGAACTCAATATACACGGCCTTATGTCTCAGACAAACTCTCTTTTACTTTAATGAAATTTTTTTGGCGCAGTTTGGTTTGATCAAACTCATCTCTTCTCACAAGCCCATCATTGCCAGTAAAAAAATATCCTCCAGAACGACCATGCTTATTAAAAATATATCGGTTCCTTCGGCGCCTTTTCAGGTTTATGAGAAAGGGCTACTTTCCATCTGTTTATTTCTTATCTTTAATGATCCTCCCTTTTATAGTCATGACACAAGCTATTTTTTTATCAGTATGCAGCTGCTATGAAGATCCAGAGTACTGCTTTGGAAAGTATTATGCGTAGCCTTTTCTGTGGATCAAATGAGTTTGCTGGTGGTAGTTCTGAAGTTCATTTTCAACTCCAAGTGATATTTGAGGGTATGCTGAAGTATATTTAAGTCCCTCCAAGTTTTGTTTCTTGTTGTCTGGACTCAATTTTATCTTTGTATTTTTGATGACCAGACTTGCTTCAGGAGCTTCTTTATGTAAAATGGACTGAACCAATACTTATTCAAGCACACGGGGATTATCTAAATGCGATGATTCCTTTCCTCAAGTTTTTGCCAGATGCGGTTGGAAGTGTTATCAACAAGATGTTTGCACTTCTTGCCTCTCTTCCACCAGTTAGTCATACATGTAAAGTTACAAGATTAAGCATCTGCTCATCTTTGACGCGTGTAGCCAAAGCTGCTGACAAAAGCATTATTCCTCACTTGAAGGTATTGCATAATCCCAAACAATATTCAGAAGAAATGCTCTTTAAGACCTTTTGTTTGCTCTTGTGGTTAGAACATAATTTGACAGTACCCGGAAAGAGAAAACCTCATTTTCTTTTCATGTATGAAGTTTATATGTTTATTTCCGTATATTTCATTCAGGGTCTAGCTGATACAATGGCACATATGCAAAAAGAAGGAACTTTGCTCCCTGGTGAGCATAGTAGTCTTGTGGAAGCTTTTTTTGCTATGACTTCTGCGTCAGGGTAATTTGCTGTTGTGTTCATGATGAATTTTATTGCATCTCATCTGTCATATCAAATGTAAATGTTGTTACTTGGCACAGAGCTGAAGCGCAGCAAGATAATTTTGCTTCGTTAATAGAACCAGTGCGCCAACAGTGGACTCAACCAGAGTGGCAAAATGAATATCTATCTAGTCCCTCTGGTTTTGTTCGTTTGTGCTCCAACCCGGCCTTAATGTGGTCTATTCTCAACACAGTCGTGCTCTTTGAGAACGCTCTCAAGGGATGCAGATTCAAGAAAAGGAAGTTGAACAGAAGCTCTGAGATGAGTCCTCTGGCTTGTCACCTTTCTTGGATACTACCACCCCTCTTAAAAGTATGTCTGTTAATTTCCCTTGAAACTTGGAATTCCATATGTGGATTTTCACTTTGGAAAAGAACTACATGATGATTTCTTTAATCTGCAGCTGTTTCGTGTCATCAATTCTCTGTCTTCTCCTGCTGTATATCAAACATTACCCACAAAATCCAAAGCAGCAATGAAGATACTGGAATTCGAGTTACAGAGCGTCCGAGGAATCTGGAGCCGTAAACCACCAAAGGGCTTATTTACTTATTCCAGTCAAGGAAGCACCTCTGATATTCAAAATTGGCTGAAAGCTATTCGTGATAGCGGGTAAGTGTACATTGTCTCCTTCAAGCTTTTTATGTAGTAACTAAATTTGGCCAACTTATCTAAAACTATCAAACTTTTTTGTGGGGAAATATTGTATGCATTTGCAGATACCGTGTATTGCATCTCTCTGTAACTATGGGGGACACGTTCCACACATCCATTGATGCTAATTCCGTTGCAGTGGCATTCATGGAGAATATGTGGTGGATGGAATTCAGACATATAAAGCAGCTCATCAATTCCTTTGTAGTTTATCTTGTCAAAGACTGTCCTGCAGATAAGTGGAAGTCATGGCTTGAAGTACTCCTAGTCCCTTTATTGACACACTGTCAGCGAGCTCTTAGCTCCTCGTGGACTAGTTTTCTGCGCCACGGCACAGCCAATGTTCCAGATCTGCGCAGCTTTGAAGGTGAAAAGAACTTCAAACAGCTGGAACAAAAGCTGCTCATAGATTTGACTCGGGCCACTGCGGATTTGCTTTCAAAGATGTCTGCTCCAGAATTAAACACAGGGATTCCTACTTTGAAGCACTCAGACGAACTTGTTTATGGTGAAATCTCTTTTCTCAAGGATTTTCATGCGCTTAAATCCAGCTCTTTGGTGAGGTATATATAGGACAATGTGTTTTGTAACTTCTTGGTTCATCATCTGCTCTTTTGGATTAATAACAAGAAATACATTTGTCTTTTCTTTTTTGTTGTTGTTGGCAGTCTCCTCTTGAGTTGCAGAAAGTTGACCCATCCAGTATTGCAGTTTTGTTTACAAGCCTGCACCTGGACAGATGGTGGAACAATCAACAATCACCAAGCGTTATTCATCTAGCCATAATGACAAACAACGAAGAGCTCAGAGAGTTTGTTTCAAAAGATTTGTTTCATGCACTCATCATGAGTTTGACCATAGCTGACAATATGAAAAACAGTTCCATTTTAGTTGGTATGTGCAGTGAAATATTTGTTTATCTTTCCCAGAGGCACCAAGCTCCACGACAGGTTAGTTTTCATTTGAAAATTTGGATTAGGTTATTTATCTTAATCCTCAATTTACTCACTTTTAGTTTAATGAAATCTGACTATTCTTCGATATCTTCAGGTTTTGCTGTCACTCCCTCGTCTCACTCCCGATGATCTGCGTGCTTTTGAAAAAGCTTTGGCAGGAACTTCTGAGCCCAAAAAACAGAAGCAACTTACGAGAAGCCTCTTGTCATTAGCTATTGGGATTAGCTTAAATAACAGTTAACTGATCAGAAAACTTTGTATGTTGGTTAGTATCCTTGACTCCTGTATATAGGATTTAGTTTTACGTTTATGTTCTTTGAAAATCTACCTCGAGACAGGTAAACAATCCAAATTAAAGAACGGAATAGGAGTTTGATTGGATCAAGATGTTTTTTGTGGTAAACTAATGAGTCTAGCTAAATACAGAAGAATCATATACAAATATATTAAGAATTAGTAGACATTATCTAGACCATGGCTAAATGCATGAACCTTTAGAGCTTTTACTATCTGCTACGGGAGGGAAAAGAGTTGACGGTGAATATCTGCCTAATTGCTTCAACCGCAGAGACATTCCAGCTCTCGACATGCCTCACAATCTTTTAAAAAAAACCAATGTCTCAGTAAAGAGAGAAAGAGAGAAAATCATATGATCGAAAGAGCAAAAGTTTCAGTCTTTTCTTACTTTGAAGTCTCCATCGAGTTCGTAGGCCGTACTTCCGTTGATCGATATCAACGGTCTCCATGGAAGTTTCAGGTAAGTCCTGAAACATAGTTCAAGGGATAAACATTAAGATGACGCACAAATCGCAACACTTTCTCAAGAAGCGTTATTAGTTGCATCAGAATACCTTAGCTTCCATGTCGCAAGTATATAGTCTCCTTGGGATGCTTCGCTCTGTAATGTTGGTTATGCGTTAAATTGATTTCAAGAACATTGAGAGCTTATACCACATGGGAGTAGGATCTAACGAAAGGCTATACCTTCTCCATATTTTCCAGTTCAATGGATGCATCTTCGAGGAACGGAACCAGTAATCTCAAGTTGCGTTCATACAACTCTGTACCTGCAAACTCCAAAACCCAAAAGAGACTAGTTTATTCTCGTATCAAGAATTAAGGATCTGATAGATAAGAACAAGCTGATTTGATCCCACCAATCTACCAAGTTTCATAAACAAAACCAGAGAGCATGAAGATCAGCTTGTTCTACATTTGTTCGACTTATCAGTACGCACTAACTGAAATTGCAGAGACAGCACAAGAAACTCAGAAGAGGTTCCTGTAATTCCTTACCCTGGAATCTGATCGTCGGGTCCTCGAAGATACAGTCATCCGAGTAAACTGCAGAAGTGAAGATTCCTGGTTCCAGTTACAGAAACAAGTTTCACCAGTTAGTGTCTGAGCTTAATTTGTGAATGAGAAAGCTTAATGAGTTTAGCTATGGTGAATCTCTGCAAACTTCAAAGTTCTTATTGAGGTTGATGAAGAACAGAGAGTCAAAAATACCTGAGACGAAATAAGCATTTCCATAATCTGATCTCAAGATCTCCATCACATCATCAACATTTCGAGTAGTAACCTCATACTTTGATCTGTATCGAGTTTTTCAGTCAATCTTTTTAACAAGACCAAATACGAACAAAGTTGAAACCTTTTGAGATTACCTATCCTTAATTGCAGGAATG